AGCAGCAATGTTTTAGGTGGCTAATGAAAACTAACATTTGTAGAAAAAGACTGGAATCCAAGCAGTAGTCAGGTAGTGAATTTCCAAGTCAAGACTTTGTTGATTTTTGCCATAAGTAAAATGGGATTGAAAGTCATATTGGTTTAAAATGGATTTACAATTTTATGACAGGGCAGTCACATAAAGCATTGTAGATGGCTTTAGTAAATTGAGTCCATTCAAATGAAAGTGTTTAACTTGTGAGCAACTGTAAATATGTGGTGATAAGCAAATATGACTCATATCTGAAAATAAGGGTATTGTATTCAGAGTTGTAAATCTAGAAAGGAATTAGATGTTTTAGTGCTAAAGTAATTTAGTAGGAGTATGTGATACTATTTTTGGCCACAGGTAAGTTTCTTCATTGGTGGAAGAATAGGAAGTTACTTGTAACTTTATATAGTGACATGAGTGTGACAGGCATTGAATTCTGCACATAATTTGGCGGGGGTGCTTCTTTTTAAAAAGGAATTTTGAGAATGGGGCAGAAGAACTGTCAAGCTACTAGAAAATGTTTTATAGTAATCAAAGTATATTATTGAGCAAGACACTTAAGAACACCAACTACTTTTCTTTCTGTGAAATTAGACTGGGATGTGTCTTACAAGTTCCTAGCATTTCCTTTTTATATTCTTACACCAAAGGGCTTCAGTGGTTGAAGTCAGACTAATTCAAAATGGAAATAAAATGCACACTCTTAACTGGTAGTGAGAGTTGGAATATCCTGTCAACAAATGGGTGAAGTCTTCAGTTCCTAGAAATAGAAGTTTCTTTGTTTTTCTAACTTACCCTATTTTTCGTAAAGATTCATATAAAATAGCTTACATTTATATCTCTATTGTGGGGAAAAAAAACCTGGATATGCTTTATTAGTAACATGTTACTTTCTGACTTTCCTTCTGGACATCTAGAGACATGAAATAATGCAAATAACAGAATGATTTTAGGTTATTGTTTTTAAGCAAGAGGAATAAGACTGTTTTGATTGAAAAACAAAACCCCCAAGTTCTCCATATTTCTAGTACTTTGAACTGTTAATATGAAATGATTTTATAAACACAGGGAATTTTAGATGTAATATTCCATACCTGTCTTGCAGAAGTTAGTAACATGTGTTAAACACAATTTTGGGGTATTCTGGAGTTTTTGTCTAATCAGCTCAAGTGTTGTAGGTAGAATAAGTAGTATTCTTGCCATGTTAAATAAAATTAAATTGATCACAGCTGAAACATTAACTCCCTGCACTGGATGTATACTTAACAGGAGTTGCTGTGGTGCTTTCACAATATGATTTGGTAGAATAAAATGTTAAAGGGTGTTTTTGATTTTTCCTATAAACACACTTGTGAAATTGGCAACTCTGCCTACAAATCTGACAATGTCACAAATTCCTTTCTACAAATGTTTCCTCTTTTACTAGCATGTAGTCATGCAAATAAGTTCTATAAATCTAGATAAGCCCCAAAAGTCTTCTGGCTTCTATATTTTTGAAGTGCATTAAATATTTTAAAATGTTGTAAGAAGACACAGAGCAGATGCAGTGGCAATAGAAGAAACTAACTTCTCTTGAGAATATTTTGGAGTTAATGTCTTTAAGCATGCAAATATAAGAACAGAGATTCTCAGAATATGTCTCAGGCCATTACAAGTGCTGTTCTTTCTTCCAAATTCACAGTGCTTTTCTTTCTCTTTACATGTTCAGGTGCTTTGGTAGTTTTTTTTTGGACTTGCATTTCTGTACATCTGTTGTATAATTTAATTTGCTGCTGCAGTTATATCCGTATTTCCATGTGTAATTCCACCATACCAGAAAGTGGAGGCAGAAAACTTGAATTCTATAGTTATGATATCCCCTTATGTACAGATATTTTTTCTGATCCATTATCTAGTAATTATGGAAGATCTTTTTAAAATTAAAAGCACTATGTGGTACCATGTTCTGGTGTAGTGTGCATTGTGGTCTATGCTCCTTCGTTAGTAGCAATAAGCTACTCTTGTGAAGTCTTTTTGAAATGGGCATGATTATGCATGTTAAGTATATTAGTATAGATATGGGTATGATTATGCATATTTAAAAAATAAATGGAAGCTCTAGTCTTCAGAAAATTGAACAGTTATACTGGATTTTTAGGGGTTATGTTTTCATTATTCTGACTTGTAGGAAAAGAGATTAGTGAAAATGCTCTTAAAAAATCCTGTGTTCATTTGCTTTTTTGTTTTGCTGAAACAGTAAGGGTCGTTTCCACCCCACCCCCCCCACCCCCCAAGCTGTAGTGGATACAATTACAAATCTGTGCCCTGGGCGTAAGTAGCACTGTAGTAAACTATGAAAGACTTGAGATTTGATGTACCTCAAAAAACACTGAGAGTTAGGGATGTTTTTCTTTTTTAAACTTACATTTGATCTACAGAGAAGGAAGGCAAAATTCAGTGTTTCATTAGGGTATTCTGAAAACAGATTCTGTAGTTCTCTATAGTACAGGACTGTAACAATGGACACCACAGAAGAAGCTCACATGAAAAGAAAAATATGTTTTCAGAGTATTCAATATTTATAGTAAATGAGACGCAGAGGATACATACTGAAGAGCAAAAAAAAATCCAAAATAACTAGCTGCTTTAAGTGAACAAAATTTATTCATTCCGCTGAATGAGGAAGAGCTCCTGTGCATATGAGGAAGTACAAGATGAATAGAGGCAATGATATCAAGTTATATTTAATTATATAGTCACACAATGGATATGTACAAAAAGGCAAAAGTAAAATTGGATTATAAGGCTTTAATACTGATATTTTCCAACTTCCAGATTGCCTGGCTTGTTAAAGCAGGTGTTTATATAAAACTATATAAAGTCCAGAAGGGCAGAATATTTTGGTATTGATTTTTTGGAATATATGTGCTGTTTATCATATTCATAAGGCATGTGAGTATATATGAAGATGGAATGTGGCAGTGTTGCTAGTGTAATTGTAAATGCAGTGCTTGAGAATATTGAAGAACATTTCCAGTCGTTTGATGCCTGCGTTTATTTTGTCAACCATTCTTTCAGGAAGCAATTTCCAATGAAGTGGGTGATCTTATGTGCACTGCTGACAAACTGGAAGTTGGTTATGTCTCGACTAAAGGTTTATATACCTCTGATTTCTTAAACATACTTAACTGATTCTCCTGCTGTGCCAGGAGAAGCCTTGTTACCTGGACATGCTTATTATGCTTCCATTCAGGGAAAAGAACAGAAGTAATTTTTTCAGGTAACATGTGGTTTTGCTAGTCTAAGCTGTGCACATAGGGAGGCCTTTGTTCAAAGATTCTGGTAACATACTAGATAGCAAGGGAATCTTCTCAGTGCAATGCATGTGACTCTTAGACCTAGTTTTCAAGACATTTATGGCCTCTGTATCACCAGCCATCTGAGGAATTGTGTACTGTAAGTATGTGTTCCTGCCAGGGTTTCTGGAATGCTGCCATAGAAAACTCAACAAAAATCAATTTTTGACACAATGGTACAGTCTTCATTTTTTTTAATATTTTTTATGAACAGCAAATTAAGATACTTTTCAAGTGTTTTGTGTTGGAGAATATAACGCTTATTTTACATCAGGAAAAATGTTAGACTTGGAAATAAGGTATCAGAGTGACAGTTCACATTTCAGACTCCATGCAAGATTTGAAAACAAATGTAGGTTTAACACTAAATTTGACTTTTGCCCTCCTAGGTAGATGTATTTTATACTTGTTTACAGAGTATTTAAGAGATTGTTACCTGAACATACAGTAGGATATTTTTCTTCCCATATATTGTGTTTGAAAATGATGTATGTTTTGTTCTGGACATAATTTTTATTCTAATAATTTTCTAAGTAAAAAAAACCCAAAAAACAACAACTAAAAAATTTGTGTTTGTTAGTACAAAATTTTAAATGTGAAATTGTGTTTAATTCAAAGATCTTTTACTTCTAAATCATTTTAATTATTTTGACAGTAAGAATAGCATTTAATGGATTCTTTCTGGATATCCGGTTTTGGAAGGATTTAAGGTGGTGTCTGGTGTGGTAATTCAGAAGAGATATCAGGCTGAATCTTTATCATAGGTTCCCCTTGAGATTTCTAAAAATTCCCTTTGTCACTTACGATTACATAAAAAAAATCCGTGTCCTTCATATAGTTTGAATTAATAAATCTCAATCTGCCATACATTTTATTAGAGATGTAGATTTAAAAACACCCAAACTTCCACTCTGTGGTGTTTAGTTTTTTGATGGACTAACTCATATTTAAGAAAAATGTTTTCTTTTATGTGCTATCTAAACAGAAACCAAGAATAATGGAGGAAGAGGAGAGGAGAAGCCTTCCAGTGCAAATTTACGTAGAAAATGCTTGTATTTGGAAAAAAGTTAATAGTAACAAGTAATGACTATAATGATTTGTCATCTATAGTTTTTTATTTTGATGATGCATCTAAAACTTGACTTAATATCTCATTGAACTTGAGGATTCATTAATCTCTTTCGGATTTTGAAATTATTTCTGTAGATAAGAATGTGGTTTTATTCCTGAATGTAGGTTTGTCATAGCCTTACTTTTAAAAATTTAATTTAAATGCCTATTTTTTTTGAAATGGAGCTTATTTAAACCTCTCTTCATACCCTTTTAAAATCCTGTTTCAATTTGCTGTTACAAAACCTAACAGATATGGTCTGGTTTTTATTTTTTATAAAAAGCTTTTAATCTTTCACAAGTCAAAGATGTAATATTCATAAAATATTTAATGAAACTGGTACTACCTGCATTATTCCTGTTGTATCTTTTACCTGTAGTTTTTATGAGGTTTTATTGTTGCTTTTGTGTGAAAAATGTATTTTTAACTTCTGATCAATTTGAAATCAGGTAGGAATTTTACTGGTATGTTCATTTATCTTATTTAACCCCTTATAATTACTTTGTATCTTCATTTTACAGATGGAATACCTCAGGTTTACTATTTTGGCCCATGTGGCAAATATAATGCTATGGTGCTAGAACTACTTGGACCTAGTCTGGAAGATTTATTTGACTTGTGTGGTAGGACATTTTCTCTTAAAACCGTTCTTATGATAGCAGTACAGTTGGTAAGTAGAATAGACGTTAATTTGAATGTTCATTATAGTAACTTGAATTCAATGGATTAAATGCTCATTTCAGTTAAGAGAATTGCACTTCACATGTTTTAAATTGGTGTTGGTGGCTTCTAAAAAGCCTATGATACAGTTTTATCAGGAAGACTGTCTTGCATCACTTTCACTTGCTTTGTTCTAGTTTTTCAAGAGTCATTGCATGAAGGTAGTTTTGTTGTGTCTTCTGAGTTCTCATAATCACAACCTGAAATCATGAATTTGTTTGACATGCTGAATTAAACAGAAAACCTTCATGAAATAAAAATTTTAATCCACGGAAGCAGTTGGATGATGAGACTCCTAAATACCATAAATATTTTTCCTGGGCATTCTTAGAAAGAAAGCAAGCAAACAAACAAAATGTCCCCCAAGCCTTTCCAGAAATACTTCAGTAGCACAAAATTGTTCAGTGAAGGATTTTTCCCCTTTGTTTAAGATTTCTTGACTTGGTTCCCACCTGAGAGTGGGTAGAAGTAGAAAGAGAGAAAGAAAAATAAGGCTTTGCATGTTTACCTTGATACAGTGTGTTTTAAGTAGGCCCTTGTGAAATATTAATGATGCTGAACCTCTGCTTCCTAAGTAGATAGTGAAATTTTTACCCATGAAGGGTAAAAATAGCTGTTTAAAACATGACTGTAATTGGATAACAGGCCTGTAACTATAGACATATAGACATCTTCAGCTTATTTGCAGCCAAAATGACAAAGGTCATTTTTTAAAATGTTCAGATCATCACAGCTCCAAAAATCATCTTTATTTAATACCTGCTGTTCCTTTCTGAATATATAAATTCTGATAGAAAATAAACCAGGTAGAATGGAGGTTATATGCATATTGGTGAACTTTCAGTGCTTCTCTCATTTATACCTTTAATATGTAATAGATCTACATGGAACTTTGTGACTCACTGCTTGGTGACATAATTTCTGGTTATAGTTTTATATAATGTGTAAAAAAACATACTTGGTGTCAGCTGTTCTTAAAGAAGATAACTTCTGTTATATACTGATTCATGTCTAATGTCCAGCATGAAAGTTTCCAGTACATGATGTGGTGTATCTACTTAGAGGATGGGTACAATTTTCATTGACTTTAACTGGGAGACACCTTATTAAGAGCAATAGCACTTTGGTTTTAAGGTGATAAAGGGGTGATTTCCTCTAAATATGAAGTCAATGTAAGATATTTAGCTTCTTCCGCAATTTGACGTGGGAACCTCAAGCTTAAATTAAACTGTCATTTTTTCCTTTTATTAAAGATTTCTCGTATGGAATATGTCCATTCAAAGAACTTGATATACAGAGATGTAAAACCTGAGAACTTCTTAATAGGACGACCTGGAAACAAAACCCAGCAAATTATTCATATTATAGATTTTGGTTTGGCAAAGGAGTATATAGATCCAGAAACAAAGAAGCACATACCATATCGAGAACACAAGAGCCTTACAGGAACAGCTAGATACATGAGTATAAATACACATTTAGGAAAAGGTACGTGTGCTTTTTAAGTGCAGAAAGAAGACTTCAACAGCTGTCATTTGTCTGAAATCATCTTGCTTTCAAGTTGTAATTTTTCTCAGTCTAGTTATTAAGAACTGCAAGTTTTGTGTACTGTGCAAAATTATAGTTTGTCCTCATGGAAATACTGTTTATGGGAATAAGGTTCTCTGGGTCTCTAATAATCATGGTCACGTCTCAGCAAATAATTGTTATTTTTGTTAGATATCCATAAAAGAAAGATGAGGTGAATCTTTTTTTGTATCATAACATCTTCACATTAGAAGTATACCAGGGTAGGGTGGGTGGGAAGTATATATGCTTATTAAAGATATTGAAGTTAATAGATTGCAACAACATAGGTTTTCAATGCTACCTTGCCAATTTGTTGATCCCTTTGAAATGCATCATGTAGTGGAATGCAAGTAGGTTATTTGATGCCGATTTCTTGATTTTTTTTTTATGTTTATACTGTTAATGAGGCTTTTGTCAGAGTAGTTAAAGGTTATGCTAGTGTTATAAATGTGATGAACTAAAGAAGTGACAGGATATATAGAGAGAGGTAAGTTGTTAGTATTGAATGAATAAATTTAGCCAGAAAAAGATGCGTGAGCACTCAAAGCTGTCCTTGTTTATTCCAGTTATATAGAGGTTTTCTAGTGAAAACCGGTTTGACACCTTCGAATTTGTGTAAACCAGTTGCATATTGTTGCATGGTCATGACTAATTAGGTTTCTCTTTCAATTGATTTTAAAAAAAAGTTGCACAATACTTATAGTTCAGAGGTACTTCATGTTAATATGGCAAATGAGAAACCATTCACACTTTCCAGATAGTAATAAGGTGTTTTATCAATAAAATCAGACCTTAGTAGCTTGTGGTTAGCAGCCATAGCTGATGAAATCATGTTAACATGTAGAATCATAGAATCATTTAGGTTGGAAAAGACCGCTAAGATCATAGAGTCCAACCGTTAACCTAACACTGCCAAGTCCACCACTAAACCATGTCCCTAAGTGCCACATCTACATGTCTTTTAAACACCTCCAGGGATGGGGACTCAACCAGCTCCCTGGGCAGCCTGTTCCAGTGCTTGATAACCAACCTTTTCAGTGAAGAAATTTTTCCTAATATCTAACCTAAACCTCCCCTGATGCAACTTGAGGCCATTTCTCTTGTCCTATCACTTGCTACTTAGGAGAAGAGACCGACACCCACCTCACTACAACCTCCTTTCAGGTAGTTGTAGAGAGCAATAAGGTCTCCCCTCAGCCTTCTTTTCTCCAAACTGAACAAACCCAATTCCCTTGGCAACTCCTCATAAAACTTGTTCTCTGGACCCTTCACCAGCTCTGTTGCTCCTCTTTGGACATGCTCTAGCACCTCAAATGTAGTTCAATTTAATTTATTTTTTATAATAAAGTCATAATAGATTTCCTTTAAAGGATAATAACTAGGCATGTGTGTTCAGCTGTTACCTTGTCTATAGGCAAAATTTTTTTTTACTTAAGCAGTATGAGGCTCTTCTACCTATTTCTGCTTTTCTTTTGGTGCATGCCTTAGTCTCAAAATAAATTGGGATGAAAGACCTGTCTAACTTTCTTGACTACTAAACTGGCTTCAGATATGCCTTTTCTATGAAAATGTAGAGAAAGAATACATACAAATACTATTTAATTCATTCCATGGCAAGTATAGATCCATGTTTACCAAATGTCATTCAACAGCACTTCAGGACAGCAAACTTGGAAAATTTGCAGCATCTCCAGGCAAAGTAAAGAATGTGGAGCTTTTTCAAATTAAACAAAACCTGCAAATTTTCAAAACAGATAGGAGGAAGACTTAAGCAGGTATATTTAATTGATGATGAAAACACGACGTTTTTCTGTGTTGAGATTTCAGAAGGGTATTGCTTTATAGTGGCCAAATGTTACTCTGTAATTTAAAATCAGTTTTGAATTGTATTTCACCTGACTTGTATATCTGCATCCTCTGGCTTCTTTGTTTCTTCATGAGCAAAGCTGAAGCATTTAATTTCATGATGTGCAAACCTGTTCTGCCATTCATTCCACATTTTGGCATGAGTTGATCTTGCTTTGTCCGCACAGATTGCTAAAACATGCTCAGGTTTCTCCATTAAGTAGGGAGAAAAAAAGCATGTGTAACTATGGCTATATTATGTATCTGTATGTAAGATTAACAGTGCATATATAAGGTCCACATATTATTAGAAGCTTATGGTCAGAAATCAGTGAATTGGAGAATTGCTGAAAGGAGATCCCAGTCATTTGATAAGAGTTATATTTGGGTACTGTACACCTAAATTTAAATAACTTTTTACATACTTACACACTGCATATTTTCTTAGGGAAATGGAAGAAGTACTGTTTAATGGGTGTTTTGCCTTTGTATCTGATACCTGATTTTGGAGGCAGCCTGTTGAGTTTCTTTTAAAATCTCATTGGCAGTCCCACATCCTGGAAACATCTTCACAAGGTGGCTACCTTCCTTATATGCATGCTTTTAGGGGGAAGTTCTGAAAATAAGACAAAATAATAGTTTATTCCCTTTTTACAGGTGGGAGATTGGGCTCTTGTGCCTGTCTCTTCAGGGTTTTTTTGGAATTGCTTCTGTAGAAAGTGTAGAATTAAAGCAAGTAAAATATAGTTTCTGCTAAGTATGTGAAGCACCAGTGTCATTCTTTGTACTTATGCATCAGGAATGTACAAACTTCAACAACATTATTTGGCAAAGAAACACATTTAATATCTACAATATAACCAAGTCTTGTGAAAAGCAATTGAAACTCTTGGGCTCTGTGAGCATCCAGGAATACAGCTTGCTGGGCTAAGCTTAGTAAGTGGGTTTACAAGTAATGGAGCAGCTGTGAAACAGTTACCCAGTTTGCTTTTCTCTTTTTAAGACTAAAGCTTTCATACATAAAGAAGTTAATCACCATACAAAGTTTAACTATCATGTAGTTGAACAGATGAAATGAAACAGGTGACAAATGTCTTCACAAGTTGAGTCTTGGTAGTTTGAGGAAATTTTTTGTATCATTCTTACAGACTTCCTTTTCTGATAAGATAAACAAATTCTGGAAGCATCCTTCCTTCAAATAAGCAATTGGTGAACAAGGTTGACAGGGACAAAAGAGGAGTTGAAGGGCCGAAGTTTTGAACTTTGACTTAGTACTTAAATAGTCCTGGTTTCCATATTTAGATGCCAAAACATTCTGTCCTTCACCAGAACTTTTTCAATACCTGAAGTATGTCAGTGTTTTCATACACTTTTCTACTCAGCTCTTCACTGATGAGCAAGATTTTTTAAAAAGAAATAATCTTTATAAAATAATATAGATACTGATTCCTTTGAAAGATATACTAATGTGCACTTTTGCATAGTTAGTGTCTGCAGAGCAAGCTACAGAGTTAAAAATGCAAATTACCATATTTGTAGTTCATATCTTTAAGGATTGTTTATTCGTATTCATTATACATAGTTTATTCTCTCTGCTTAAGTAGACTGCAGTGATAAAAAGTTCAAGAATTTCAAGGTTTTTAATAAATTGATGAAAGTAAATTTTACAAGAAATTGTGTAGCAGTTTACTGTAGGTTCTGGATTAAAACATACAGCTTGCAGTGGGGTAGCAGATTCAAAGCTGGGCGACTGAAGGTGGTGCTTACTTCTAGAAGGAAAGAATGATCATTGGTAGTAAGTTTTCATGGAAAGGAAGACCAAATGTATAATAAAGAAAATTACGAACAACTACAGGTTTCAGCATTAGGTATTAAAGCTAACAAACCTTTCAGTTTATTAAAATCTAAACTGCACTAAAAACCTGTCATATGTCAGGGGTTGATTCACGAAGTGTTCAGTTACAGGGCTGCAATTTTGGGGAGTAAGGGGAAGGCCAAACTCAATGACAGCCATCTGATATTCATATTCCACAGTCAGTGACCAGTAGCCTCCAAAGGCTGATTTTTGTTAGATATTGGCTACTTCAGAACTGACAGCTATCTTTGCTCTCAACTGTCTACCAACATGTTTTCATATGGACTGAGGAGAGGAGCGGGGAGGATCTTTCCTTATTTCAACTGATACTTCAGAGCATCAGGATATTACCTTCATTCTGTTTTGTGCATCTTCAGCTGCTGGTTTGAGTGTCAGAAAATGTCTCAATATTAGAAGGTACTGGTTATGTATTTCAGTAGTGGACAGTTTAAATATCAGCAGCACTATTTGCCATAGCATCATGGCCACTGTGGTTTCTTTCTTCATTGCAGAAGCGTCTGGTGAGCCTTGCCAAGTAAAGAAAGATTCCATTAATGGACTACTAATCACAGAACGGTTGTGGTTGGCAGGGACCTCTGGTGGTCATCTTGCTCAACCTCCCTGCTCAAGCAGGACCACCTAGAGCTGGTTGTCCAGGGCTGTGTCCAGATGGCTTTTGAATATCTCCAAGGAGGGAGACTCCACAACCTGTTTGGGCAACCTGTGCCAGTAATACATATTCCTGTAGTACATATAGAGCAGAAAACGTTCCCTACTTTCTCACCACATTAAGTTGTTACTGTTTAGTAGCTGCAGTTGGAAGTTTCAGATGGATAAAAGGTTTATTTATTTACTTTTTTATTTAACATTTATTAGAGGTAACGGTCATGAGCTTAAACTAATAATTTTTTTCTTGTTACTGTTTTACAGTTGTGTAAAAATAAGAATCCTTTTCCTTTTTCAGTTGAATTTATTTCCACAATGGTATTGAAACCATATCTGAGAACTGGCCTACTAGAACACATTTTGGCTTTTCCCCATGTTAGCAATGAAATACAGTGTGCGAGCTTTATTTCAGCTCTTCCTTTAGTGTTTGAAAGTGGAAGGGGAATCCTATCTTTATAATACAGCAGTATTTACTAGAGTGCTACAATATTTTCTAGTTATGACCACAGTGATGGCAAATTTGTCATGACCCAAGTCTTGTCATCATTGATGT